AAGTCAAAATTTAAAAAAGTCAGAATTCTGAGATTAAAGTCAAAATTTTGAATTTATTTTTTTATTTTTTTATAAACAGACAGCTTTAAAAATAAGGTTATATTTTCTAGAAAATACACACGGATAAATGTCTAAACACTGTTTTCCTTTACTCATATTAAATAATTATTTATTTCCTTATCCAGACCTGGAAAATACCAACATTCATCACTTCAAGAACGAGCAGCAAGTGTCTAAAACCAGAAGAGACTGATTTTATTTCTGTTCTTGATTTAGAAAACACAGAACGTTGTTGTTTTTTTCAGGTAAACTTCTTACCATGACAACGAAGAAGTAGAAGACGGTCATCCAGCCCAGCTTGCTCTCGATCAGCGACACCAAGTACTGCATGAAAAATAAACAAACAGTCGGGAAAAATCTCCAGATATTAGGGGAGAATCACGATCAAACAAACCCTCGTTAGTCGGCAGGGCTTAAGGCCCATGTGAGCTTTGTTAACTAGTAAATTCATTACAAATAAAACTTTTTTTTAATTTTGTTTTGATCCAATCTGAGTCAAACAGAAAGTGTGATCCACTCCAGGAAAAGTATCTTAATTATCTTCAGTTCGTTTGATTCAAACTTCATGTTAAATAAAAACATTTAAACTTCTTGTTGCTTAAATTATACAACTGCCTGCCTTACTTATACCTCCTGTGGTTGACGCTGTCATGATTTGTTTAGGTGTTCAGACAGCATCATAATCATCTCATAATCTATTTTAATCATCTGTGAAGTGTGCCCTCTTGTGTTGGCTCACTTGTCCTGCAGCAGCTCCGATGCTTCCGGTTCCGTCCACGATCCCGGTGACGGTTGCCAGAGCCTCCTGGCTGCCCCTCAGGGCGTCCTGCCTCCCCAGGTCAGCGGAAATGGCCGAGCTGATCATGTTGGACGGGCCGCCGATGAAGAAGCCAGTGGTAGCCAGGATGACAGCGTTTATGACCTGGTCGTTGGGCGATCCTGGAAAAACACATCCGCTCTGACTGTTGGTCTAAAATCAAGACGGGAACGCTGACATTCTGCGCAGCCTTGTGTTTAAGCTGACAGGATGTCTTCGTGGTGCAAAATGTGTCCTGAAGGATTTTTAAGAGTGTTCTTTTAGACTACTCACTGCTGTACCCCACCAGGGCTCCCATCGCCATCGCCAGGCTGAAAACCAACACCGGAGCTCTTTTTCCCAGGAAATCAGAAATCAGACCCTGAACCGTCCCACCTGTCACAATAAAAATCAAGTCAACTTTATTTATAAAGCACATTTCAAACAGCAGCTGTTACCAAAGTGCTTAATGGAAAAGACACAAAACGCTGCAGTCAAATAGGGGTTGAATAGACTAGTTGACTAGTCTATTCTAGGACATCTCACGAGTTTTTATATTTACGTCAACTAGTCGCAGTCGCCACCTCCCAACCCTGTTCCCAGTCCATTCCAGCCCTATTCCAGCCATCCACAGTAGTGGATTAAATACAATAAAACTAAGGAGAGTGGGATGGGCGATGGTGGACTCCAGCATCGCCTGCCCCGCTGTCCTTAGCCTTGTTTTTATGTGCCGCACGTTTCTTTCACTTTTGTAGCTTACTGTATTTTTCACCCAATAAGTCAGTTTTTTGCATAATTTACATGCCCTGCGACTTATATGCGGAAACGACATATTTATGTTTTATCCCCGTATTTATAAACCAATTTTTGGCTGAGCTATGACCAACACTACCATTTTCAGCCGCTAGATGGCACTCGAGTAGTATGGCATGCCGTTGTATCATGTAATAGATAAAAGTGGCTATTAATGACACAATCGGCTTGCCCTAGCCTGCCACCACCTGGAGCAACTAAATCAGCTTCATTTTGCTGCGCTGCCCTGGTGAAGTGCAGCTGATTGACCATTAAAATGCATTAATTAAGTAAAAGTTCAACTGACACACACCTTTACTATAAAGTCGAGCAAACAAATAATTGTTTTTAGGTGGTTATCTTGTTAAATTTCAAAGAAATGGACCCAGTCGCCCTCTGCGCGTTTATGTTTCTGCGTACCGGCTTTTGAAATGCAGCTGATTTGACCGTCAAAGTGCATTTAATGAGGAAAAGTTAGACTGAGACACACCGTTACTATAATTTCGAGCAAACAAATAAATGTTTTTAAGTGTTAATCTTGTTTAATTCTTGTTAAAGTTCTCCCATGCACGCTCCCGCAAACGCCATTTGGAAGCCAATCGATTTTTGCCACACCAGCCCACATGTCCGGGTTGTCATCGGTGACGCGTAACAAACGCCACACGTCAACGGTGACGCATAATAGATGCAAAGTATATGGCGAAGCAACTTATTTATGGATTTTTCCACTATTTTATACATTTTAGGACTGATGCGACTTATAGGGTTGAGCGACGTGTACGGCAGAAAATATGGTAATAATAGTACTGGTTTTCCTGTTATTTGCAGTATGATAAATGGTAGGCGCATAAATATACGCTCCTGATGTTTTGTTGTTCTTTTTTTTTGTAAATAATGACTTTTTTTGTGAATATGACGTCACAGAGACTAGTCGACTTTAAAAAATATGTAGTCGTGCAACCCCTACAGTCAAATCATCTTTTAAAACCAGGACACTTCTGGTTCCTTCTTCCACCTATTCATAACAGACGTGACCCCAGGTATTGGTTTTTGTAAAGGCAGATAGAAACCTGGACTCCTGGACACAGAAGATAAGCTCATATCTCGTGTCAGACTCAGAAGCTGCTGCAGAGGTGCTGAATCAAAATTAAACATGGTCCTCGTAGAGAAACAGTCTCTGGGCTACAAAGTGTTGGGGAGGACCAGGGGAAACCATTCCCATTAATACTTAGTAGATGTTTTATATTTATTTCTGAATAACTGTATTCCAAAATGTATGATCAGATGACTGTATTCTTGGATTGTAGTACTTGTATTATTTATATGTATTGGGTGGAGGCTTCATATAATTCCACTGGGCTTCTGCCTCTCCCTGCACTGTTATTATATTTTTTCTTAATATCTTTGATCTGTATTTTAATTGTGCAAAATAAAATAAAATAAAACAAACCAAAGCATTTATAGGGAGAACACATAAACTTCCTGTAGAAAAAACAGAACCAGGAGTTAAACTTGCAACTTTCTTGCCGTGGGACGAAGCTAACCAACCGTTCCACTTTGTAGCTCGTAAATTGGGAAAAAAAAAAAAAACTAAAATTAAAATAAAACCTCAAAACTCTACTTGTGTGTGTCTGTTAGCAAAAAATCCCATGAACCAGAGGATGGATTTTTAGAACGATGCACGTCTATAACAAATTCAAGATGGCCACCACAACTAATCAACCCAATAACAGACAAAACGGCTCGTCCTCAGTAATGAGGACGTTGCTTTGGTCAGTCGTGGTGAAGAAAGTTGATTTACAGGTCTGTTTACATTCCAACCCTCGCCTGTGGTCATGAGGTTTAGATCATGACCCAAAAAATAAATAAAAATCCAGGATACAAGCGTCTGAAACGAGCTTCCTCTGTCGGGCGGCCGGGCTCAGAGTTAGAGAGGAGGAGCTTGGAGCAGAGCTGCTGCTCCTCCGGGCTCAGCCTTAGAGGAGGAGGAGCTTGGAGCAGAGCTGCTGCTCCTCTGCATCTAAAGGACTCCGTTGAGGAGGTTCAGAATTCGCTGGAGGGATTAGAGATGGGAACGCCTCGGGGTCCCACCAGGAGGATGGGGAGAGTGTCGCTGTGGAGGAAGGTCTGGGTTTCTCTCGTGGACACGTCACCTCCACCACCAGACCACAGACAAGCTATAGAAGATGGAGATGCTTAAAAGAAGTTCTTGATTGTGTGCGGAGGAGGGGGAGACTCAAAGCCCCCGTCGTCAGTGCACGGACTCTGGCTCCACAAACACAAGGTGGCAGCTTCTGGTAAACTTCTGGCTTCAACTCCCCGACAAGGAGAGAACACCTGGACAGATGTTCTGTGGCTGAGCCTCCTCCCGTACCTACTTTTCTAACAGACTGAAAACATTTGCACAGCGGGGACAAATAAATAAAGATGGCTGCTCACCGACGATCCCACCGACGTCGTACCACACAGACAGGCGGTCGGCCTCGGCCTCCTTCCACCCGTAGTTGTTGCTCAAGTAGAACGGCAGCCAGAAGAAGAAGGAGTAGTTGACCAACTTCAGACACGCGTAAGCCAAGGAATACTGACAAAGACAAGGAGATGGATTCAATCTGGTGAAAGACTGGGAATATCCTCTAATCCAAATCTCCTTCAGACTCACGGGCAGCACTCCAGGCAGACTGAACGCCTGGAAGAAGCCGACGGCTTGTTGACACTCTATGACAGTTTCATCCGACTGCTGGACCGACTGGCACTGCTTGATGTGCTCCTCCTCCACCACCTCCTCCTCCTCGTCACTCATCAGGGGCCTGTGGCTGTCCGAGTCCGTCTCAACCGGGCCGAGCTCCGACTCCATCAAACCTGACACACACAAACGGACGTTACGAGACGCCGTTAACAAATGAAGCTAAAGGTGAATGTTTAGTTTTGTTCAATAAACGTGTCTTATGGTTCTGACCGATTTCTTTTGGGGAGTTGAGCAGGCCGAAGAACACCACCACCCCGCCGGCAAACTGCACCACAGACGTCACCATAAACGCGTACTGCACACAACAACATTTTATTATTATTTGGTGTTAATAAAACTGACAAAATCTTAAAAAGTCTTCCAATTTTTTTATTAGAAGTGTTTCAAATGCTCCTGTAAGCTCACAGTAACTTGAGTCCTTTAGATCTTTTTTTTTTTTTTGTTTGGGGGGGGGGGGGGGGAAATCAACCATATTGAAATCCATTATAAATGCTTTTTTAATATTACATATTTATCATATAAAATAATGACTTCCTGTCTCCAGATTGACTTCGCTTCGGAGTTCCTCTCGTCTCGTCTAACAAAACTGTTTATGTTTGGACGCAAAGAGCAGAAACACGCTTGTTTTGTGCACGAGTACACATTTGGTGCACAACATCACGTGCATGCAGGCTGAAGAATCAGTCGCTCCGGGGAAGAGAATGCCAGAAACCTGCTGGCTGGACCAAAAAAATGTGGCGTCAGTGATAGATGGATTAGTCTACAGGAAACTGGTTCAGTAAAATAAATAACAACATGTTTTTAAGATATATAAAAAATAAATTATCCTGGGGGAATGGCTGGTCTTCCCAAAACTCCAGACTGAAATAAAAATAAATCTTAATGGGGCAAAAAAAAAAACTTTTTCCGTTCAAAAATTGCCATAAATTAAAGATGTCAATAAAAATAGCAACATTTTTAAAAACTAACAAACATTAAAGTAGCTAAAATTCAAAAACTGTCATTTAAATTTCATAGATTTTTTTCAGACCGAGACGGTTCTAAAAGGATCGACTACTAGATTATGGTAGACAAAAAAAAAAAAAAATATATATATATAAATATATAAATAATATAATACCAGTATATTTAAGCAGTTATGTATGACGGTTGACTGTTCCTGTAAGGAACGCCTGTTGTCGTAAAGTTGAGATAATCTGAGGGTTAAAAGCCGACAGTTCTGGAGCAAAGCCTCGTTTAAGTGCGAGTCTCACCTCGTAGCCGTACGTGAGCACACTTGAAGCCAGGAACGCTCCCAGGATGTTCCCAACAGACGCGCAGGCGCTCCACAAGCCGAACACAAAGCCCCTCCTGGAAAATCAATTCAGGGATTTTATTTAGAAGCACCGCAAATTTTAAAACGGTTCCTTCTTTCGTGCGTTTAAAACAAAACTGTCAGAGAAAAATGTAAAAAAAAAAAAAAAATTCTTACCGTTTTAACAATCAAGAACTTTACTTGAAAATTCCTGCAGTAATAATAATAATAATTTAAAAAACAGCCTAATTGAAGTCTGTTTGGAATGTGTATTGCCTCAGATTATATTATGGGGAAAAGCCTCAGCTACTACCACAACAAATTTAGCTAATTATCAGTTAAACTGACTGAGTTACAGCAGAACTGCAAATAAAAAGAGCAAAATGGTAGCTAAAACAAGTAGAACAATAACTAAAAGAAGAAGAACACTAGCTAAAAAGAGCAAAATGGTAGCTAAAAGGAGCAGAACACCAGCTAAAAGGAGAAGAACACTAAGTAAAAGGAGCAAAAATTAGCTAAAATGAGCAGATCACTAGTTTAAAGGAGAACACTAGCTAAAAGGAGCAGAATGATAGCTAAAAGGAGCAGAACACCAGCTAAAAGGGGAAGAACACTATATAAAAGGAGCAAAATGGTAGCTAAAACAAGTAGAACAATAACTAAAAGGAAAAGAACACTAGCTAAAAGGAGCAAAATGGTAGCTAAAAGGAGCAGAACACCAGGTAAAAGGAGAAGAACACTAAGTAAAAGGAGCAAAAATTAGCTAAAATGAGTAGATCACTAGTTTAAAGGAGAACACTAGCTAAAAGGAGAAGAATGATAGCTAAAAGGAGAAGAACACTAGCTAAAAGGAGCAAAATGGTAGCTAAAAGGAGAAGAACACTAAGTAAAAGGAGTAAAAATTAGCTAAAATGAGCAGAACACTAGTTTAAAGGAGAAGAACACCAAGTAAAAAGAGCAAAACACTAAGTAAGAGGAGCAGAATGGTAGCTAAAAGGAGCAGAACACCAGGTAAAAGGAGTAAAAAAGAGCTAAAAAGAACAGGACGCCAAGTAAAAAAGATTTTAGTGTTGGCTACAGTTGTTTTGCTACCTGAGAGGTTTGGGTTTTTTCCATTTTGTTTACCCTTTATTTATACAGGAAGTCTCATTGACTCATTTTCAAGAGAGACCTGTTTGGGAGCAGATGGTGGGGGTTAAGGGCCTTGCTCAGGGACCCAGGGTGGGGCGAATGAGGGTGGAGGCAGGTGTTGGTGTTTCACCTTTTCCACCCACATTTTGATGTTGACGGTACTGGGAGTTGAACCTGCAACTTTCCGATCATAGGCCCATATTCTCTAACCTCTACGCCACCACTCCCCCAGTTTAGTAACAATGTGTTGATTGCTCATGAGAAATTTTTCAAACAAAGACACAAAGACAAAACACCGACAGCTGGTTAGCTGGTTAACTAGATGACGAAGTGACTTCACCCACCCCGTCTTGCCGAACCAGTTGCCCATGACGGCCACCACGCAGGGCCAGACAGCTGACTGCAGCAGGCCGTTCAGCACCCACAGGCCGCAGTACAGGTAGACATTGTAGATGTGGAGCCACTCCGTCACGGTGCCGAACACAAACTCCTGCAAGCGCATGCACAGTCGGGGCAATAAATAAATCTCATGAAGCATTTCAGGAAGAACAGGGTAAAGTTAAGATGAGGAAACAGATGTTCAGTCCGTCCACTGACCACAACGGCAGAGCCGCACAGACCGAAGCAGAGCACGTAACGCAGGTTCACCCGGTCCCCGATCACGCCGCTCAGATACAGACCCTGTGAGCAACAAACAAAAACAAACAACAACAAACATTTTGTTCAGATTAGGAAGCAACAGAGCTCTGATGTAAACCGTACAGATGTTTTCTTGTTTACAGCTACTTCTGCATGCACATTCAAATGGAAACACTTTGGTTCGTTTGGCTATAGTCTGCATCAAGTTGTACTTTCTGAAACGTTTACAAAGAAATCACAGAAATACTTTAGGATCTTTAATTCTTTCAGAAACATTCTTAAAATCTACTTTTGCAAAGTTGCTCAGATTTGGTCTTCTTTGGCTACCGTCTTTACAATTTAGACTTTTAGCTATGGTTTAGCTAAATTTAGCTTTTAGCTAATGTTCAGCCATTTTAAACATTTAGCTGCTGTTTTACTACAGTTAGCTTCTAGATACAGTTCTGCCAATTTTTGCTTTTTAACCGTAGTTTTTCTACTTTTATTTTAAGTTACAGTTTCGGACGGTTTTTGTTTTATGCTACAGTTTAGCACCATTCAGAGTTTAGCTCTAGTTTTTAACGACGGTTTAGCTACTTTTAAGATTAAATTATGATTTGTAAATTTTAGGTTTTACTTACACTTTTGCTGTTTTTAACATTTTACAACTATTTTACAAAATTAAAACGTTTAGCTACGGTTTTGCATTTCACTTTTAGCTGCAGTTCTAATTTTAGCTTTTAGCCAAGTTTTTGTTAATATTATCTTATTTATTATTTTAAATGTTTAGCTGCTTTTTTGCTACATTTAGTCTTTTGTTACAGTTTAGGCATTTTGTGCTTTATGCCACAAATTTGGCAATTTAGTTTTAGCTCGTTTTGTCATGTTAAACGTTTAGCTACTGTTATTATCTAAGGTTTAACCAATTATGTTACAGTGTAGAAAATTTAGCATTTAGCTACAGTTGACTGGTTTTAGCTTCTGTTTTAAATGTTTAGCTACCATTTGCTACATTATTCTTTTAGCTATACTTTTGCTACATGTAGCTTTTAGCTATAGTTTTGCCAATTTTTGTTTAATGCAAGAGTTTAGCAGAATTTAGCCTTTAGCTACAAGTTTACTGTATTTAGCATTACATTAGTATTTATCTACATTTAGCAGTTCTGCTAATTTTAACTTTAACAATTCAGTTTCAGCTGTTTTTCCCCCCAACCTTCAGCTATCATTCAGCATTCATGCTGTGCTTTTGCAGAAAAAGCTCATTTCTGTAGTTCCAGAACGGTTTCCTGTCCTGAAATGTGACCCGGTTCCAGCTCTTTGAGCCCAGACTCTCCTCAGAACCGTCACATTCGGTTCAGAACCAACAGCTGTTTTGTGTTTTTCTGCGCTCGTGTTGACAAACGCTCACCACTGCGTACGAGAAGAGAAAGATGGAGTCCAGGGCGCCCAGAAACAGCGTGGCCTGCTTCTCGTCAGCAAAAAGACGGTTGTCCTGCCACGTCTGGACACATCAGAAAACAAGAGCAGCTAAAGGAACAAGGAGAACTCTGCGTTTAATTTGACCACAAACTTATTATTGATTTGCATTTCATTAAAAAAAATGGATTCACAAAACAGATGGATTTGATTTTTCCTCTTTCTACCAATGCCAAGTCATAAAAGATGATTAAATAATCCAGTTCCTGCTCACTCGGTGACCGTTCTCTTCTAAAGGTTCTGCTCAGTACCTCATCGGGAAGGAACGCCGTGGCGCTGTCGTTCTGGATGGACGGCGTCCATTGGGCCGAGATGCTCACTTTCACGTTGCTGAAAGTTTTCCTGGAGGCGTGCAGCAACACATAGCTGCAGAAACACACGAGAGCAGATAAACGTGCTGCAGAAGCATTTCGAACTGCGTTTCATGTCTTCGCTGCACATTCCTCTTCAGTTTGAAAACTGGGAAACAGTATTGATGTTATAATCTGTTATTTTAACAACATGTACCCTGAGCTCAGCTCTTCACCTTTAAACTGCAATAAACACACTTTAAAAGACGCAAATATTAACCACACGACTCATTTTTAGTCAACCTTCCTGAATTGTCTGGACATGTTAGGATGTTTATTATTATTAGGGGAAACATTTACGAAGTAACACAGAAATCCTTCATAAAAATGTGAATTTAAGTCACACCGTTAATGGTTCACAAGCTGAAAGAATCAGAACACAAGCCGAATACTAAAAGAGCAGTAACTAGAAGGTAAACGCAGAAGAGCAGAGGTTGAATTAGCAAAACAACTAATCATTAAATTAAAACAAGTAAAACAAACAGCTGCTAAAATGAGCAAACGGTTTCAACGTGACGACTAAAAGCCAAACTTAGCAAAACTGTAGTAAAATAAGTAAATAATCAGCTAAACTTTTGCTAAAATAAAACAGAACGGTAGCTAAAAGCGAAAAGTAGCAGAAAATGAGCTAAACGCTAAATCAAAACATCTTTTCAGATTAACATTATTAAACGAACATATTGCAGAACTTTCAGAAACCCTCGGTGGGTGTTATTCAGTTAACTGGTAGGATTTATTGTGGTCTTGAAAGCTGCAAACATGAGTTGGAAGTGACTCTAAGGGTAAACTTACAGACTCTACGTTGTGTGTTCTGCCTGCAAAAATCTCCCCCCCATCCCCCGTAAACAAAATTCAGCTCAGCGTGACACAAACTTCACATTTTACCTAAAGAAGGTGAGGAGAAAGACAACCAGGTGATGATGGGTGAACTGTGACAGATAGCCACAGCACGAGGGAGGCATCACAGGGGCGGCTGGAGGGAGGATGAGGAGGATGAGGAAGGAGTTGGTCTTCGAGGATAAGGTGGGGAGGGTCAACTAAAGTCCTCCACTAAACCAGGCAGGACTAACACATCGTTAGGGGTGGAAAGGTGTGCCTGCAGAGGGAGGAATGTTAAACCAAATGATTGATTAGCTCAGAGGGCAACAATCTTTATGGGGTTTAATTCAAAGTAAAAATATATACTCGAGTAATTTAACAGATTGTTTATGTTCTAAGCTTCAATGCCAGCTCTGAATGCTGCCCTGTTAACAGTCAACTGAACCATGAATGAGCCCTGTGTTACATTTAAATCCGTCCCCCCCACCACCACATCGTCCAGCAGAAACACTGACTGGTTTCATAAAAATAAAAAATAAAAACATTCTCAGACCAGGATCTTACAGACTCTGAGAAGTCAAAATCAAGAAACTTTATAAAAATCTGAATGATTATAAAGACCTTGTTATAGTCACAACTTCCAGGTGAAAAACAAACAGGTTGGTATTTTGTGCCTGCAGGAGTTTAACTCCAAAAACGAAACGTGCAGTTTGTCGCGTTTTTAAGCAAAGCACAACTTCTTATCAGACTTTCTAAGAAAGGCTGTCAGCTGAGAATGTGACTGTTTACAAAAAAAAAATAAAAAAAATGCCTGAAGGTGGCAAAAAAAAAAGACAGGTGTTCCTGGAACCTGTGGTTATTTATAGCTACACTGTTAATAATTAAATTTTGAGTTATAATTGAATAAGGTCCATTGAAATGACTTTCCCCCTGTAGTTGACTTTCTATTTTTGACTTCTGTAGAAGAAGAAATGCTACATATGCTAGCGACCGTGAGACTAGGCGCATTATTTATACCTGCTGTGTCAGTTCCGGGTGTTTAAAACTGTTTAAAATCACAAAGAACGTCTAAAAACTAAAACTGGCCTTATTACATGTTTATAAATAACTAAATGTCATTAATACACGTTTTTAAATGAATAAATACAGCCTAGCGGGTCCTTACCTTAACGTTTAGAGGCCAGTGCACCTCTGAGCGGCGACAATCTGTGGATGTGTCATTACTGAATGCGAGTGACGTCACAGGGTTCAGCGGCTCGGGGCGCACTGCTGCCCTCATGAGGACAGGAGGGGAATTACACAATTTTAAAAAACTGAGTGCCAGGAAAAATAAAATTACTATTGCAATTAAAAAAAGAACCAAGTTGTCTCGTTTTTACTACAGTGTATCAAAGCCGTGCAGAAGACAACAAATTATTATTTTTTTCTTTTTTAACATTGAAGTCAACAGCAGATTAAAGCTGAATTTACAGACAGTCTGCTTTGTTGTACAGCTAAATTTTTTGAATTCCTTCATCGCAATGCACAGTTAATTCATCATCGTCGTCATCAAATATTCATTACTGGTGAGTACCCATGCATTTTCCTATATTTTTATTAAATAAAACTATTTTTTTATGTTCCCATCCTCCTCCATTTCACCACTGTCCTGCTGTACTCGTGCCATTTTGACACTCTCTGTACATCTCTATCAGCATCCTCAAAGCAAATAAAACACAATTTTATTGAATTAAATTATTTCAGCATATTTTATTAAATTATTACTGCATTTACTTTACTTACCAAAAAAGCTCTTATCACCTCGCTCAGATAATATAGCCCTCTGACAAATTATTTTAGCAGTTATGCAGAATGTTAGATAAATAGTTCCGTTTTGATTTTACTTTCATCATATTATTTGCTAGTTCTCTGATAATAATAATAATACTGAAACTTAAATTTATGATGTTCAATATGTTATTTTGTTTAAGCATTTAACCTTAGGAGGTATGACAGAAGATGTTTTTACATATTTATATGTATCATTGTAATTTGATAATGTCATTTGTTGTTCTGTTCTTTTGTCTTGTATGCTCAATAGTTCAATAAAGTGAAAAAAACCTTATATTTAAGAAAATTTTTCTGGGAGCATATTTAGGGTATAAACTATATTAAAAAAAAGGCAAGGCATGTATAGACCTTTGTTGACTACGTCCTTAATTAGCATTTTTTCATAATTCATGGGAGCTTTATTGTGATTTTGAGGTTCGATTTTAATATTTTCAGAAAAAAGTGGAATATTTACTTTATGTACTTAGCTTATATTTAGTATTATAAAACTACTATTTGTTTATAAGTTATTATTCATGTGTATTTACATTTGCATGTTTCTGCTTCCACAGATTCGCTGATCTCCAATAATGTCCAGTGTAAAGTACTTCAATTCAGTTTATTTATATGACACCAGTTAACAAATAAGACAAAATATTTAAAAAAATAAGTCAAAATCATAAACCCAATTTGACATAGATTTACCCAACCATTTTTTTATTTCAGCTCCTGGCACTTTCTGAGCTCCGTACCAGACAGCTGCACACAGTTCACCTGTTGCTGTGACTTTTGCTGCACAACAGCTGCCTTTGGCTCTGAAGAACTTCTCCCAGTTTAAAAACTTCCCCGCCTAAAGTCCTGCTGCAGTTTACAACCTGGAACTGACAGACAACCAGCATCTGACTCTGGTAAGCTTTATTTATTTATCTATCTATTTATTTCATCACATGTTAAACAGCATTTTCTGTGAAACTGCAGTGAGAACAGCTGAATGAGGGATGAAGCTGAAGCTGAAAGCCAAAAGTAACAACTCTGTATAAACTTAAAGTAGCTAAACTTCAGTTTTTACACAATCTTTACACAATAAATAGCTAGGTTAAAGCTTAAAGTAACAAAAGGCTAGCCAAGATTTAAAAGTAGCAAAACATTAGCTAAAAGCTCAAAGTAGCTAAACTTAATTAAACGTTAATTTAATTTAATTAAAATTTAAAGTGTTAAATTTGTTAGTTAGAAGCTAAACATGGGGAAATGCTAGCTAATGACAGCAAAAGGTTAGCGAAAAGTAGCAAAATGTTTGTTAATGTAACAAAACACTAACTATAAAAAGCTTAAAATAGTTCAACTTTAGCAAAACACTAACTAAAACCTAAAAGTAGCAAAAGGCTGGTTAGGGAAAGTAGCAAAACATTAGCTAGAAGCTTAATGTAGCAAAAGTCTAGCTAAAAGTAGCAAAAAGCCAGATAAAAGCTAAATGTAGCAAAAATATTAGCTTAAATGCTAAATGTAGCAAAAGTTTGCTAAAAGTAGTGGAATACTAGCTAAAAGATAAAAAAGTAGCAAAATGGGAAAAAGTAGCAAAAGGCTGGTTAGGGAAAGTAGCAAAACATTAGCTAGAAGCTTAATGTAGCAAAACATTAGCTAGAAGCTTAATGTAGCAAAAGGCTAGCTAAAAGTAGCAAAAAGCCTGATAAAAGCTAAATGTTGCAAAAATATTAGCTTAAATGCTAAATGTAGCAAAAGTTTGCTAAAAGTAGTGGAATACTAGCTAAAAGATAAAAAAAAGTAGCAAAATGGGAAAAATTAAAAATATCCAGATGTTAGCTATAAACTATAAACAAGAGTTTGCTAAATGTAGCTAAAGATCTGGTAAAGTAGCAAGACGTTAGCAAAATGCTAAAGCAGAAAAGGCTAAGCCAAAGTAGAAAATGGCTAGTCTATGGCTTGTCTAAAGCTAAAATATCACATTAGCTTAAAGCTACATTAGCAAAATACTAGCTAAAAAATAAAGAAGCAAAACAGTAGCTATAAAAGTAGCTTAAGAAGGCAAAGAGTTTACTGAAGCAGATTTCAAACAGAACAACGTCCTTGAAGGAAATGAATTATCCATGTTTCTATGGATACAATTCTTGCAATTAAAGTAAAAATATTAACAAAAGTTTTGAAGTTACAAAAATCTGAAGTCCTCGCACGCATCTCTTGACTGAACTGAACGTTTTAATGCACAAACGGTTAAAATGGCACAAAAGTGAGTTTGGAAAACAGAAAAACATGAAGCCGTGGTTACAAACCCCGAATCTAGAACAAAACGAGAAAAATGAACAACAAATAAAAAAAAAGACCGTTTTTAAATCTGTTGTTTTAAAGGAGAGTGCAGATCAGAAACAGCTGGGGCGAGACACCAAACATCTGCTTTAGCTGATGGAGAGTTATGACGATGACGTGTGTCCCGTGTGGTCCAAACGTCTCCGCTCTTTTAGGATAAAAAATGTGGCGTTCAGACCGTATTAGGGGACCTCCATTCAGTCTGTTGGTCCAGCTGTGAGCGAGGCAGACAGTTTTTAGAGAGAGAGGAGCGGAAGTCCCGTCCAGAGAAGCTGCAGAGGCTGAGGTGAAACATACGACACGCACCAGCCTGGATGTTACACTAATGGACACAACAGAGAGTTTCTATCACAGCTTCACTAACCACACTGAAACTGTGCAATGGATGAAGGTAAGACGCTAATTAATTTGGTGATTTGTTTACACAGTTCACAGAAAATTATGAAGGGATCCTCTTATTTTCCTCTTTTTGCCATAAGACATGTTTGTGCATAAATATTTGAGTTATTCAATTATTAAATGTGAACAAAACACATTTAAGATGAGAAAAAGTAAGACAAGACAGTGGATTTCTACCATCTTAAACTGATCAAACCTAAAATCATTTGTGAGTTTATGCAAATAATATAGAAATTGTTTACGTCACATTACATCTTATTTACCTTTTAGCATGAATGGCAGCAGCAGCAAGCTGTAGCACTTCCAGCAGGGATATTTGAATGAGGCTGACAATAATCCAGTTGAGTCTGATTTAGTCGGAGGAGATGTCAGGTCAGAATTAAAGAATTTCTCAAAACATTCAGATCGTCATCAATAACAGGTAAGATGTTGACGTGGAAATCCTGTTTGTAATTTATTTATGTTCTTTGCAAACAAACTACTTTATACTTTGAGCCATTTTAACCTTTTGTGCATCAAAACGTTCAGTTCAGTCAGAAATAAAGTGCTATGATTTGACAGTTTTATAACTTTTATATTTTTCCTCTTAAATTTTCCCAGTTCCTTCAAAACACTGATCTTTTTAAAAACTTTCACCTGCTCCGAGTTTGTTTTCTGAAGCTACTTTTAACTTTAAGCTACTGTTTTGTATCTCAAGATTTTAACCATTCTGCTTCTTTTACTTTGTTTTGCTAAATTTAGCTAATGTTTTGCTAATTTTAACTATTGTTTTTCCTAATATTGGCTGCTGTTCTGCTGCCCTAAACTGCTGATTTTTACCTTGTAACTGCCATTCTGTTTCATTTAGCTAATCTCGTTAGCTTCAGCTACAGTCTCGGTAAATTTGGCTACAGTCTCGATAACTTCGGCTACAGTCTTTCTAACTTCAGCTACGGTCTCTCTAACTTGGGCTACGGTCTCTCTAACTTCAGCTACGGTCTCTCTAACTTCAGCTACCGACTTCAGCTACAATCTCGTTAACTTTAGCTACAATCTCGTTAACTTTAGCTACGGTCTCGTTAACATCAGCTACAGCCTCGTTAACTTCAGCTATGGTCTTGTTAACTTCAGCTACGGTCTTGTTAACTTCAGCTACGGTCTTGTTAACGTTAGCTACGGTCTCATTAACTTCAGCTACAGACT